TAGGATCTGTCCCCATGATGCATTCCATGGCTTCCTGCATCTGAGGAGAGTTTCTGCTGGTTACAGGCACTCCGGTGCTGGCTTGCTCAGGCTGTGGTGTGAAGAAACATTCAGTGATACTCCAGTGTCAGTCTCTGTATGCCCATCCTGCGAGGCCATATCTGATCCACTGGGATCAGAGGTGGTGGGAACCCCTTCGTCTTCAAGTTCCCCGAGTTCTGGTCTGCTCGGATATCATGCTCCAGTAGGCCACGAATCAAATGTTCACGAGTTTTGCCACCAAAATCAATTCCTCGTGACGCACATTCAGTACTTAAAGCACTTTTGCTCATTTTCCTGTATTCTGCTACACCAGGCATAATTGCAAGCAAAGGTAGAATAGAAAGCAAAAAAGGAAGGAGCTGTTGCTATATGTCTCTCTATATATACAGTGGGGATCGAACGTTTGGGCACCCCAGCTAAAAATTTGTATTAATGTGCATAAAGAAGCCAAGGAAAGATGGAAAAATCTCCAAAAGGCATCAAATTACAGATTAGACATTCTTATAATATGTCAACAAAAGTTAGATTTTATTTCCATCATTTACACTTTCAAAATAACAGAAAAAAATGGCGTCTGCAAAAGTTTGGGCACCCTGCAGAGTTAATATCTTTGGCAAGTATCACAGCTTGTAAACGCTTTTTGTAGCCAGCCAAGAGTCTTTCAATTCTTGTTTGAGGTATCTTTGCCCATTCTTCCTTCCTTACAAAAGTCTTCCAGTTCTTTGAGATTTCTGGGGCTGTCTGTCACGCACTGCTCTTTTAAGGTCTATCCATAGATTTTCAATTATGTTGAGGTCAGGAGATTGTGAAGGCCATGGCAAAACCTTCAGTTTACGCCTCTTGATGTAATCCCCGTGGATTTTGAGGTGTGTTTAGGATCATTATCCATTTGTAGAAGCCATCCTCTCTTTAACTTCAGCTTTTTCACAGATGGCATCAAGTTACCATCCAAAATTTGCTGAAATTTTATTGAATCCATTTTTCCTTCTACTCGTGAGATGTTCCCTGTGCCACTGGCTGCAACACAACCCCAAAGCATGATTGATCCAACCCCATGCTTAACAGTTGGACAGAGGTTCTTTTCATTAAATTCTGTGCCCCTTCTTCCCCAAACGTACCTTTGCTCATTCCGGCCAAAAAGTTCAATTTTAACCTCATCGGTCCACAGAACTTGTTTCCAAAATGCATCAGGCTTGTCTATATGTTCATTTGCAAAGTTCAAACGATGATTTTTGTGGTGAGGACGTAGAAGAGGTTTTCTTCTGATGACTCTTCCATGAAGACCATATTTGTACAAGTATCTCTTTATAGTGGAATAGTGTACCACACAATTCCAGTGTCTGCCAGATCTTTCTGGAGGGATCGTGCAGTCAAACGTGGGTTTTGAATTGTTTTTCTCACAATCCTGCGAGCTGTTCTGTCTGATATTTTTTTTGGTCTTCCAGAACTTGCTTTAACTTCCACTGTTCCTGATGACTGCCATTTCCTAATTACATTCCGAACAGAGGATATTGACATTTGAAAAAGCTTTGCTATCTTCTTATAGCCTTCTCCAGCTTTGTGAGCGTCAACTATTTTCAGTTTCAGTTTTCTAGACAACTGCTTAGAAGAACCCATGGTGCTGATTGTTGGGGCAAGCTCAGATGAGTCTGAGCATTTAAAACCTTTGAGATTGACATCACCTGGTCTTCCCAGACCATGATTGAGAACAATCCATGACACTGGCAGGTCTCAGCAAAGGGGGCAGTGCATGCTATAAATTCTGCAGGGTGCCCAAACTTTTGCAGACGCCATTTTTTTTGTTTTCTGTTTATTTTGAAAGTGTAAATGATGGAAATAAAATCTAACTTTTGTTGACATATTATAAGAATGTCTAATCTGTAATTTGATGCCTTTTTGGAGATTTTTCCATCTTTCCTTGGCTTCTTTATGCACATTAATACAAATTTTTAGCTGGGGTGCCCAAACTTTCGATCCCCACTGTATATAAAATATGCACCGCTTGTCTCTTAGGACTGTTTCCACAAAGGTTACAATCCTTCAGTGCAGAGCCAATTCATAAACAATGCACTGAAGCTCTACTGCAAACTATCCCACGTATGCTGCCAGCCAATATGTGACAGTCGCGGCGTCAGAACCCCAGCCCTTCTCACCAACTTGTGAGCGAAGGACTAGCCAATCTAAAACTGCGCTGCCACGTGCGTAACAATGCCACGCCCAGCTGCACCCTGCACAAAGATTTTCTAGCTAATGGACCACAATCTATGTACCTTCAGCCTGAGAGCGATGTTTACTGGGTCAGGTTAATTACGCAATTAACCCTTCACACTGCCACCACCACTTTTTTATACAGAGAAAGAGGAAACTCGCCAATATTAGCAATAACACTATGATGTTTGAATAATCGTCTGTATACACACTGTGTCACCGCAGGCAGATGTATATAGAAGTTTAAAAACACACAGTAGAGCTCTTCAGAGACAGAGATTGTCAGGAATGGACTCGCCATTAGTGGTGGGACTCATCTGCCGTGTGGGCTGCAGTACCAGGGCTGGCCAGCGGGTGCTCTCAGCAACCAGAGGCTGATTGCAGGAGGTGTATTTAAGGAATGGCCAGACCTGCAGTCAGTGCCTTGGTGTATGTTTCCCATGAGCCCCTGTACCTGCATCCTGTCTGCTTCCTGCCTGATTCCTGATTCTGCTTTGATCCTGACTCTGAATGAACTCTGCCTGTCCTGACCCCGGCTATTCCTGACCACTCTCCAGCCTGCTCCTTTGGTACCTTGCCTGCATGATTGTTCCTAACCCGGCCCGTCTGTCTACGCTCTGCCTGCTCCTATGTGTCTTGTCTGCCCGATGTTTTCTGACCCAGCCTGCCTGACCACTCCACCTCACCAGCCCTGACTGCTCTTGTCTGTGTACATTCCGTTATCAGTTGGAGGTTTGGTTTTGTTATATTTTGCGTTTATATTTGTGTATAACCTTAATAAATTATATTGTTTACACCATACTTGAGCCTGCGTTTTCCCTGTGTCAGTTCACACATCTCTGGTCTTACCGGGAGCCCTGACAGAGATTCTTAGTTTGCATTAAAGAGCTTTGGAAACAGTTCAACACTTTTCAGATAATAGGATTTATTACTAAAAAGGTCAAAATGGTGCAATAAAAATATTTACAGAAAAAGATGTAGCCAATATAAATACAGAGAGCAATAACACAGAAGAGAGATAACAGAAAGAAGTATAGAGAGGTAGAATACTTGCCGTCAGCCTTGGTCTAAGCAGATCAACAAAGGGGTTTACTACTAAAAAGGTCAAAAGGGTGCAATAACAGTATTTACAGAAAAAGATGTAGCCTATATATATATATATATATATATATATATATATATATATATAAAATACAGAGAGCAATAGCACAGCAGAGAGATAACAGAAAGAAGTATAGAGAGGTAGAAATACTTGCCGTCAGCCTTGGTTTAAGCAGATCAAGTGTCCTGAACAAAAGGGTGCCTTTTCTTCCAAGTTGGTTCACGATGTTAAAAAGGGAGATTTCTTCAACTTTCTGCTCCAAGCCTGACAACCTCTTTTCTAGAAACCCAGCAGGGTGTCTCCTTACAGCAGAGAACCAATCGCCTCATTTGGGGAGGGGTGTTTAGGCAGGGAGCTCAGGCTATGACCAAATCCCTCCCAAGTTATACCATGGTCAATAACCTTCCCTAGGTACATGTAGCAGCCCAGCCACTAGTAGATTAATATGCAGAATGATATCCTGAACGTCCAGACATCAAATATGCAATATCTGTCAGGGACTGCGGGTCTCGCCGCGGCGCACAGGTCTGCGCATGCACAGATTGCCTAGGCGCACTAATGTGCAGGCAATAGGACCTGGGCATCAGCAATTGCAGCCACGCATGCGCACTTGGGCACGTGCCTGGCATCAATGACGGTGCAGGGCGCACTATTTAAACGAGCCAGGCGGTGACTAGGTTGCTGCAAGGTCTAGGTCCTGTACCCATGTTCTGAAGTGTGTTCCTGTTGCCGATCCTGCTTGTCCTGATTTGTGTTGACCTTCTCCTGCTCTGACCCCGGCTTGTCCCTGACTACGCTCCTCCCTGTTGCTATATTACTATTGGACCTCCTGTTGCTGAACCTTGGCTCGTGACCCGGCTGCTCTCTGTCTACTGCTTAGTACCTACCTGCCCCCACCGTTACCAACCCGGCTAGTCTGACTACGCTCATTCCTGACTGTCATCCATCCATCCTGCTCGGGACCTGGACTTGTCAGCCTCTTCACATCAGGCTCACCCCTGGCACGTACCCTTGGCTTGACCCCTCTACCACAGTTGGGTACACTCAGGGTCGCGATCAGGTTTCAGTCTTGCACCAAGTCCATCCCCACCATCAGGGGCTCTGGTGAAAAGGAAGACTAGGACTTAGACTCCACGTCCTGGGGGAATCCCATTATTGGTTCACTAGAGATTCTGCTGTGCGGGTGCCTGACAATATCTTACTATTTCAAATAGAACTATATGGCTTTCTACGCTCCTGTAGACTTTAACTAGGGGTGTAAGGTATCAGGTGACTTGTATTAAAGTGACCTTTCGGAATATATGCTTTGTTTCATTGTAAGTATTTCCTATCTTAAGATATGAAATTATATGGAAAAGTGGGTTTAAATGGGATGTATTTTTTACGGCTATCTCGGAATGTCTTTCATGTCCAGTGAAGGACTGGTTTATAGCATTATGATCCTCTCCAAGCAAGAGTCTCACAGACATACTGGGCCCAGGCTAATTGGGGTTTATAACCATGAAGCTATCCAGCTGTGCCTGAAGCCTTGTGATCTCAGCATACATACATACCACATTCCTGAGGGAGGGGGATTGGAGGGAAAGAGAATGATACAAGATGTAAGATCTTTTGCAAGATGGATGACCGCGTCCATCTCTGTACGTACAATTGCTACAGGTGGCTCCATGATATCCTTGTGTGTCCTTCTGAAAACTCCTCCATCACTCCATACTCCTCATCCTCCTCTTTATACTCTTCTTTAACATCAATATTATCATCCCCGAGGATTCCACTCTGAAAGATATAATAAAACATTCATTGTAACAATCATGCTGTGTATAAATCACAACTACCAATAATTGTCAATCATCTACCTGATGATGGTGAGGGATGGTGTGACCTTCCTGTGTGGAATCCCGGGAATACAAAGGACGGGGACATCTCTCTGGTCGGCTTCTGTAGCTGGATGACTCCATGAGGTCCAGGTACAGATCTTTGTGTTTTTTAGAAAACTCTGACTCCTCCATCACTCCATACTCCTCATCCTCCTCTTTATACTCTTCTTTAACAACAATATTCTCATCCCCGAGGATTCCACTCTGAATGCATAATACAAAACCCATCAATGGTAACAATGCAGATAATGTACAGATCCTAATGATACTATCAGTGATTGTTCCTCATCTACCTGATGGGTG